AACTTCACTAAAATACACAACGATTCCCAAATTCTTCATTCTTTTCTATAGGCATGATAATAAATTGGAATGAAATCACAATATGGCTACTGCTTGTATTATACAGGCAGTAACCAGAAAAGAAGCAGAAGATCTTGCAGCAGTTTGTCTTTATTTACAAAAGCAAAAAAAATCTCAAACACACCTAAAAAAATGATTCTCAAACACACAAAAAGCAATAAGTAAACATGGGAACACAGGAAACAAACATCCATGAGCAGAACATACACGAGTTTCAGAGCAAACCATTTTAAACACTAAATATCATTAACTGTGAGTGAGTGTGTGTGTAAACAAACAGTGTTGCTGAGCTTCACTCTGAAACCAAAGTGTGTACTTATATTAGTTGGCAAAGTATCATTGCATCAATAAAAGCTTTATTGGTTATTGTTTGAAAATAAAGAAATCAAGTAGTAATTTTGCAGTGAAATAAACTGGTTAACAGTATTTTAATTTACAGTATACAATACAGCAATAAATATAAGTATATTTTTGAAATATTAATCAAAACAAAGTGATGATGATGATCATAATAATTATTATTATAGTGATATTAAGCCCTTCCAACCGCAACGCAGAACTGGGAAACACCCATTCACACTCCACATTCCCACACACATATACAATATATACCTGTACACTACGGGAAATTTAATTCATTCAATTCACCTATAGTGCATGTCTTTGGACTGCGGGAGAAACCACAGAACCCGGAGGAATGAACACCGTAAGAACATGCAAACTCCACACAGAAATGTCAACTGGCCCAGCCGGGACTCGAACCAGCGACCTTATTAAAAATAAGCAACCTTATAGAAAAAAATATGCCAATAATCTTTGATTTATTTACAATTTATATGCTCAGTATAAATGAGTACACCTCATTTAGAAAATGTATAATTTATTCATTTCTTAGTGAATAAAAGCAATATATGTTGCTGTATTTGAACAAAACAAATTTATTAAACGGATATATTCATTCAAATTATATTTTAGCTACCGAACATTTTTAGAAATAGATAATACATTTACATTTATGCACAATATTGCAAACATTTCAACAAAAATTATATATATTTTTAGTTTCTCTTGTTTTTTGATCTTTTTAAATGTGTATTTGATACTTTTTTTCTAACATGTAAATTTTGGCTACAAGTTTTTGGACAGCTTTCGTAAGATATTTTGTTGCTCGTAAGTTATTTTGTTAGCTATTGTTTGATTAGCTCAAAATTTAGCTTCCGTACTGATTAATGTATATGCACGAACGAAAAATTGTAAAGCATCTTATAGGAAATATTCATTTAAAGGAGAGATCTGTGAGAGATGTACTCATATATGCTGAGCACTGTATAGTTGAAGTCAGAATTATTAGCCCTCCTTTGAATCTTTGTATCTTTTTAAAATATTTCCCAAATGATGTTTAACAGAGCAAGGACATTTTCACATTATGTCAGAAAATATTTTTTCTTCTGGACAAAGTCTTTTTTAATTATTTGTTTTATTTTGACTAGAATAAAAGCAGCTTTTAATCTTTTAAACACCATTTTAAGGTCAAAATTATTAGCCTCTTTAAACTTTTTTGATTGTCTAAAGCAGGGGTTCTCAACTGGTTTGGCCATGGGACCCACATTTTTACATGGTCATCAAGCTGTGACCCACATTTCTAGGAACTATAATACAATTTTAGGAATTATAATTAATTTGTATTTATTTGTTAACATAAACAAGTAGTGACAGATAAATCATAAGAAAATCACCAAGACTTACAAATAAACTATATTTTATTGCTGTTATTTATTAAAATCAAATTATAATCAACTATAATCAAATTATAGAAATATTACAAAGTAAAAATGACAAATACTGTAAACGGTGGTTAGTTTATACTGTAAAGGTTCATTTACCATGAACTAAACTGAACTGTTAATAAAACATCTTGTCTGGTTTCTAAATGTCGTTTTAATTCAGAAGGTTTCATGCTCTCTTGTGAGAGCACCTCACTACATATGACACACTGAGGCTTTAAGCTTATTTTTGTCGTCAAAATATGTTAATCCATACTTTACATATTGTGGGTTGCACTTGCGCTTTAACATATTTGTTGCTATAATTAAATAAAGTTTTACACGTCAAACAGTAGGGTTGTCGCGCATGCATTTCAAAATAAAAGTCCAGTATAAGCAAAATAAGTTAAATTAAAACTAAGTTAAATGAACTTTAGTTGATTTTTTGTTCACACACTCCGCGACCCAATGAAAATGTTCCCACGACCCACTTTTGGGTCGCGACCCACCAGTTGAGAAACACTGGTCTAAAGAACAAACCATGGTTATACAATAACTTGCCTAATTACCCTAACCTGCCTAGTTAACCTAATTAACCTAGTTAAGCCTTTAAATGTCACGTTAAGCTGTATAGAAGTGTCTTGAAAAATATCTAGTCAAATATTATTTACTGTCATCATGGCAAAGATAAAATAAATCAGTTATTAGAAATTAGTTATTAATTATGTCTAGAAATGTGTTGGATGAAAATCTCTTCGTTAAACAAAAATTGAGGGAAAAATAAACAGGGGTGCTAATAATTCTGGGGGACTAATAATTCTGACTTCAACTGTATATAAATATATTACTGTAAGAAATCATCATAACATACTGTGCATCACCAAACAAAAAATAAAATAGTGTTTTTTCCAACCCCTGGGCTCAAACTTTACCACAGTAATTGAGTGGCACCTCTTAACATTTGTATATACAATATTACTTCACCACACAACAGTTAGTAAGGTCATTTACTGTAAAAAAGCCTAGGATTTCTTGATAGAGCCATCCCATTACACCCAGCATCGCCTTTGACACAACATCAGCGTGTAGGCACCAAATAGTCTGGCAGCTGTGAACAGACCTATAAATCGGAGCTCGAAGCTCTTTCAAATGAATGATGTGCTTAAATCAGTGAAGGTGTAACGCCCTTTCCTGCCCTAACAGCCTTTAGACACTTTATAGATTTAACAGTATTGACAGTGCTCAAGTGATAACATATCGATACAGACAGCTTGAAGTGATTCATAGTCGATAGGGTTTACAAACTGAACAATAAACACTCACTGTAAATCAATCACATTTATCAGTCACATTACAAGCCACTGGAAAACCGATTTTCTGTTTTAAATGTCAATGGAAGCTTTTAGTTTTGCTGATCCAGCACTGTGAATGTTTATCCCTTAATTTCAGTAAATTTGAAACCTCGCAAGGATGCTGATTAGATGTTGGTAAACATCTAATTAGTTCTGGTGATGTTTGGCCATTTATGACTGCATATTTTAAATTGAGTGTGAAATTTAGAACGGTTTTGAAATTCAGTAAATGTGAAAATCAAGCATCTAATTTGAAATGCTTTCATTTTCCTGCACTGAAAAAATGATTCAAAGATGATTCCACGGCTTTACTAAATTTAAAGTTAAGGGGTTGTAAACAGTTTATTTGGGCTGAAAAACAAACAACGTAAGTTGAACATTACTACATTTCATTTGTCTGTTTAAATTCAACCCATATACATTGTTTGCAACAATTTCGCAGAAATTAATTTTTCAGTGTGGTAAAAAACACATTTGTGGCTAGCAGTCAAAAATAACCCCAATTAATGGCAAACTAGAAGAAACAAGCAACATCTTACTGAAGCTATAAACTTAAAATGAAAAAGAGAATCTTTTATGTAATTCTTATTTATTTGCAGTTTTACAGAGAATTAAAACATCTATATCAAATTTGAAAAATAAATAAATATACACAGTGCTCTGCATAAATGAGTGCACCCCATTTTGAAAATGAATATTTTTATCCATTTCTCAGAGAGTATAAGCAATGTATTTTGGTGCATTTAAACAAAACAGATTTTAAAACAGATATATTTATTTAAATAATAGTTTAGCCACTAAATGTATATAGAAACTGAAAGATAATACAATTAAATTCCAGCAAAATATTGCTAAAATAAATTACAACCTACAAAATTTCAAAAACATTTTGTACTTCTTTTCATTTTTCCTCTTTTTCAAATTTTTATTTAATATTTTTTGATAACAAATTTAAGTGTACTTGTTTTTGGACTGTTATCGTAAGCTATTTTGTTAGATAAGCTCCAGATTTAGCTTCAGTACTCACTAATGTACTGTAATGTATATGCACAAATATAATATTGTATAGAATGAATTTAAATTTAAAAGATAAATGTGTGCTTATATTGAATGATTTAAGTTTTAGAATTATATATATATATATATATATATATATATATATATATATATATATATATATATATATATATATATATATATGATTTTAAAGCATTCAAAAAGTAGTTAAGATTTCTTTTTATAACATCTACTGCATAAATAATTAAGTATAAAACAATATACCAAAATGTTATTAAACCAAACTAAAATACCCAACATGCAAACAAGCAGCACCTGAAAATAAAACTGGCAACCAAAGATTGAACTCTTTTCAAATCACAGTTTCAGTTTAAAATATGTGAAAAAAACTAGATTTAAATTTTTTTTATATTTTTTTACTGTATAAATTCAAACATTATGTTTGTAGTGGAGCAAAATACATTCATAATCGTTCATAAAACTAAAACAGGAGATCTCAAACAAACAAACAAGCGAAGAAGTGTTTAAAATATTTAAGGCATACAGCAGAGAGAGAACGTAAATACACCACAGAGGCAGCAGTGAAAATAAATGCAGCAAGAAAGGTTTTGCAATATTCATGCAATGCCCAGAACATCTCTGCTTCTTAAATCTAGTTTGTTCGAACACATCCACTCAAATCATAACTGCAGAACAGCTGACAATGATGCAATCATTGTCTTTTAAATATATGCTACGGTACTAATAATATCAATAATAATTCAATTCATTAAGTCATCTGCGTTCGCGAATGAATCCAAACACTTACCGGCAATCGGCGTGCAGAAAAAGCGCGGGATAGTTTCAGTCAGTCAGATAATGCCGTGTTTCTGTCGGGTCGTTGCAGATAATGTCATTGTTTGTGTTTATTTTATGTTCTTGTGCAAGTGTCTGGACGGTTCCTGCATCCACAGAGAGAGAGAGCGCGAAACAGAGACTGACTGGGGAGCGCGCGCGAGCAGGGAGGGAGCGAGCGAGAGGCGCGCGCGAATGATCCTGCCTCCTCACCGCGAGCGCGTCTCCATGGTTACACACCTGATCCACTGGGCACCAGCGGGGAAGGAGACGAGCTAGTGGCGATGCGACTGGTTTTGAAAGGGTCATGAACTGAGCAAACAAAATCCAATTCATCTCTTGACACAAAAAAATGTCACTGTACAACCTGCAAGTTGAAGAGAGCTGAAATCCTTCTCGTTAGTCTAAAAACAGCTTACAATAATGCAGCCTGCTAAAACGACACCTTGTGAAATGAGCCACTTTATTACGTAGTAAACTCGGCAGAAGATTAACGCTAATTTAGCACCTTCCACCGATTCAAACACGGCAGGTAAATAATTAGAGAAGAAAACGTAGATCTAAGCAGTGGTGTAGTACTAAAATAAAGTTGGTGTTCTATACCCACCCAATCCAAACTTTAAAAGAAACGACAAAATATTAAATATAGAAGCGGTCATTTAGTGATGTACAGTTCATGAGGTTATCGTAGTTTTAGGGGGCTGAATGGAAATATAAAAGGGCTAAAGCAATGCTCATGCTGTTTCATAATTTTACTTGAAAGTTGACATCACTATTGAAAGTGAATTAACGTCAATTAAATGGTCAGAATTAACATGCAGGGAAAATTATATGGCAACTTCCGGATGTAAACAAAAGGTGTGTTAGACTTTAAAGGTCCTGTGAAATTAAAATAAAAAACATGATATCTAAAAGCTAGTGTGCTCCAAAAAAGTGACAAAATTTGATAAAAAAAATAATATAAAAAACTGATATAAACATCCTAAGCTTGCAGTTTGTCACTTCTCCATGAATGGATCGACAGTTTTTTTTCACATCACCTCATACTTCAGTTTCTCATCGAATCTTGCCCCGCCCCTTAAAGGCTTCTTATTTGCTTTTCATTTGATGTGGTCACAGTTATTGGTTTGTACGCACTTATGGTTTTCTGTATCGTCCAACACAGGCTTATTCTGAAAATGTAGTTCTATATAAGTTTCTAGAGATTGCAAATTATGTGGTCAAAGGTATGTATGGCTGCATTTTATTTTTCAAACGAACGCAACATGGCGCTTACCAGCTGACCAGGTACCTCTGTGTGGTCGACCTTCCCGCTGCAACCAGTTAATCCAGTAGTTAGCATGTCATGTATGTTGGCGGACTTGAAAGGAGAGTAGTTGACCATGATGACAGGGTTCGAGTCCAGTGAAGAACGGTTACAGAAAGCAGACAAGATAAAAACAGAATTTAAATGATAAAAAAATAAGTAAATAACAGGGTGAGAATGCGGCTCAATCAATAAAAAAGGTTGGGTTTAGGAAAGGGGAAGGGTGGATCAGTTGATTGGTCGGTCAGTCAATTCAGTCAGTCAGTCATTCAGTCAGTCATACAGTCAGTCAACAGCGGCCTCTGGTGGGTTAACGTTAGAAAAGAAGGCGCGAATGGCACTTGTGACAGAAATTTGAGATATGAAAAAGAGTATACAGCGGCCTCTTGTGGATTTGCGAAAACAAAAATTGCCAAAATACATACCTCCTAGGACATATTCGCGGCACTCCAGGAACATATATAGAGGTATAAATCAAAATGGACAAAAAGTTTTACTTGGACCCATCTCTGTTGTATCATTAATAATAAAAGTTGTGACAGATGCGATTGATGTCCACCACACACTGTGATAAAAACAAAATGCTATTGGCTATTTTTTAAAAGAGAAGAAGCTTTTAGAGATGTCCCACCCTCTTTTCATTTTTCAGTTGAGATTACATACAAAAAAACACATTTCAAAGTACTTCACTGCACTGTTAAGCAAAGACCGATCAGTGTGTGACATCAAAATACCGTAAAAACAATTACAGATACTTTGATATTATGCATTTATATTGTGCAGAACTAAAAAATGTGAAGGATTTCAAAACTCATTCATTCATTCATCTTTTTTTTGGCTTAGTCCTTTTATTAATCAGGAGTCGCCACAGGGGAACGAGCCGCCAACTTATCCAGCATGTGTTTTACGCAGCGAATGCCCTTCTAGCCACAACCCAGCACTGGGAAACACTCACACATACTCATTAGCCACATTTTCACTGTTGGGCCAGTGTGAGCCAGGGCCAATCGCCTGGGAGCATGAGCAGTGAGGGGGAAATCATGTCGCGTTTCCACTGTCGGACTGTCATATAAACCCCGCCTCCCGAACATCCCCCGAATCCAACGTCACACAACCCGCCCAGTTCAGCAGGAATCAGGCAGAAAAAGCACACCATCGCATCATCACAAATTGATTAAAATGAAGACAACCGAAACAAACAAATGACACGTTACTGTACAGCATTACATTATCTGTCTATACGCACAGGCCTATGTATTTCCATTCATTATATTTGTTTACTCACCGACTGTTGCATTGAGTGGTCTCCCCCACTTACAGAGGGACTCTGCGCAGTTAATGATCAGGCCCCGGAAGTGATAGTGGAAACGTGACTGACCTTGGCTCGCCCTGGCTTGCTCTCTTTAGGCGCGATAGTGGAAACGCGGCTATTCACACACATACACTAAAGCCAATTTAGCTTACCCATTTTTCCTATACAATTCACCTTATCTTTGAACTTGTGTGGGAAACAGGAGCACCTGCAGGAAACCCACGCAAACTCGGGGAGAACATGCACAGAACTCCACACAGAAAAGCCAACTGGCCCAAGGCTCGAACCAGCAACCTTCGTGCTGTGAGGCATTTCAAACCTGCAAAAGTTAACCAAATAACCATACCGAGACCTTCTTGAAGTTTTAGTAAACTCAGCCTATTACGCTTGTTTGGTTGACTTTTGGTGCAAACGCTGCATTCTTACTTTTCACTTGCCCAGACGAACCGCACCAAAATGGTAAACAAACTCTAGTACAATTAAAACCAAACTAAACGATGCAAGACTAAATGAGGAAAGCCGCTTTCATTTTATTGCTTGTTTGTCTACAAACAAGGCACAACTGGATCCAGGATTTTTGGAAAGTCAGAAAAACTGATAAATAATGCAGTGCTCACTGTAAAAAAAAAAAAAAAAAATTCCAAACGATCGATTTGTGTTGAGACAACATGAAATAATTAAATTAACTCATTAGTTTTTACAAATTTAAATGTATTGAAAATAAAACAAATACGTTGTCCCCCCAAAATTCAAGAATCATGCTGTTTCAGCTCAATTTAAATAAGTAGTTTGAACAAACAACGAATGTTATTTTTCTGAGTTCAGATCCAACAGAAATGTTGCACCACACAAGTATCAGCAACTGTTTTTAACACATTGATCACTTTTGCTTTATCATTTATTACAGATCATCTGATACATCAGCCGTATCTCACAAGAAAATGTGACTATTGTACGTATTGGCAGAAAACTGGCTAACTTGAACACATGCATACTGGTAACACTTTATAATAACTACACACTATGACTTACTAAGCATTAGCATCTAGTGAATTCATTATTCGTTAAGCATTAACTCTACACTAATAAACGTTAGTAAACAGTTTATTACTGCAGCAACAATTGTTCTATTCTTGACTTATAACCACATTTATAATGTGCTTAATAATTGTATTTTCATACTTAGTTAATGATTTATTTTTCATTACTAAATTAAGTATTGCATTATTTAAAAAACAGTTATTTAAGAGTAGTTGAGGGTTTTTAGGATAATTCAGAATGAGTTAGTAAAATATTACTAAACTATTGAAATCAACATTTATATGTCTTATTATTCAGGCACATACTAATGGTTACTATGTATGTTAATAAATGCTTTATTAACTCAGCTTAATGCAGTTTTGTGACCTAATCTAAAGTGAGGACTATTCATGCTTTATAACTGACAATTAAAGGCTCAGAATCAAATGAACAATAATCTTTGCAATCTTATCTAAAATTAAAATAACTGTAAAGTTTAAACATTGCTGAATAACAGGAGTTTCAAAATATAACATAAAACTGGATAAAACAACAACAATTTAATCATTTAACAATTTAATAAAAAGCCATGTTTAAATTCTACAGTGATTTTAATTTTAGATAAGGTTGCAAAGATTTATTTTTCATTTGAAGTACAGTTTCATTTGTGTATCTTTACATTAATATGAATGAACAATGTAGTTTATGTCACTTTTCCTGTTTAGAATTGAACTGAGCCTTTATTTGTCAGTTATAAAGGATTTATAAAGCATGAATAGTCCTCAATTTAGATTAGGTCACAAAACAAGATGAAGTTGAGTTAATAAAGCATTTATTAACATACACAGTAACCATTAATATATGCCTGAATAAAAAAGACATATAAACGTTGATTTCAATAGTTTATTAATCATTTACTAACTCCTTCTGAATGATCCTAAAAACCCTCAACTACTCTTAAATACAAATGGTTTGTAAATATTGCAATACTTAATTTAGTAATGAAAAAATGAATCATTAACTAAGTATGAAAATACAATTATTAAGTACATTTTAAATTTGTTTGTAAGTCAACAATAGAGCATTTGTAGCTGCAGTGTTATAAATTGCTTGATGTTTATTAATGTAGAGTTAATGCTTTACAGATAGTGAATTCACTATTTGCTAATGCTTAATAAACAATTTATAGTGTGTAGTTATTGTAAAGTGTTACCCAATCATGTAGAAGTACATAACTCTAACTGTAAGCCTAAACTTAACATAAACGATAAGCATATAGCTTGATTCTGATTGGCTGATTGGAATGTTGCTCCAGGATCAACATAGATATTAATCCAGGAACATGTCCTCCTTGGAGAAATCAGGTTGGTGCCAAACCCCGCCCCTAAACCAAACCCTCATTGGGGCATAAGCAAATCTTGCTTTATGAATGTGGTTGTACAAATTTATAGGAATTAGACACTTAATCTAAGTTACTAATTGCTGTGAGATTGTGTTGTATATATGCTCAGTATTTTAGAGTGTATCAGAGAAGTCTC